CAAAACTCTGGAAAGGGACAAAACTGCTGGCCTAAAAACACCCACACCCACACAGAAAGAGAGAGAGAGAGAGAGAGAGAGAGAGAAAAGAGAGAACATATTAGAAGTATTTGAGGAAATGCAGTTAAAGTAGTAGTATGGGTAGCCCCAATATTAACAAGTATAAGTGGACGGTATTTAATGAACACTTACTCCATTCCTCCCCTGTTCTAAGCATTTTCCATGTTTTAATTTATTTAACCTTTTTAACAGCATGGTGAGGGAAGTCCCATTTTTCCCACGTTACAGATAAGTCCCAAGAAGGCAGGACCACTAAATGTGAGACCATATACTTTTTCAACTTTTAAGGGGGAATCCAAATAACGAGAACCCTGGTTTCACATGCTAGAGCGGAGATTTTCAAGGAGTCTTCTGGAGCTAAGGAGGGAAGCCATCTATTACCTTCATCACAACTCACAGAAAAGCAGTGCTCCTTTTTTTCCAAATAAGTTTTAATTTGAAGAAAATACTATTCAACTAAAAAAAAAATAAAACTGTAGCATGCTCACTCTAAACAATAATCTCAAAGGAGACAGCTGCCTGAAAGCGTGTGAAATTTTCTATGGGAGAGTTTTGATTGGCCTTCAGAGTGTATTTTAAAAATTAAAATTCTTGCCAGGATTTAAAATTCATGAAATTTCACATAACAGTCTGGGTCTGGCCACACAAGGCCCACCTTCCCGCCCAGCAATGGCCAAGCAGAGTTGGGCAGCAGCTGCCAATTTGGCACAAACTTTCCAATTCCCACTGTCCCCTCCTGAGGTCACTTCGAGGATGGATGTAACCTGCTGACCCTATGGGCATTTGAGTGTGCCAGCCCAGCTCTGAAAGCTCAAGTCCTCCTTCTGAATTTATTTATTTTTTTAATTTATTTTATTATTATTTTTATTTTTAGGCGAGGCAACCTTTGGTTGACCTCATAGATTGCAAGGACCTTGTCAGCTTACAATCCCTTATTTTTTTATTTTTTATGCCTACAGCACCTGATCTTCCTAGGTGGTCTCCCATCCAAGTACTAACCAGGCCCGACCCTGCTTCTCTTCCGAAATCAAATGGGCTCCTTCCAAATTTAATCCCAGTTTATAGCACATCACTTGTGGCAATTCCCCCAGAATTGCTCCTTTTAGCTCTTCGATTCTTTTTCCCAGTACAGCTGGCCCTTAAAAAAGTGTCCTGACCCACTTCCTACTTCAGAGGAGCTGTCCAAGCCTGCTGCTTAACAGTGGCCCGTGGACATTTGGATGGAGTCTACTAGGTACTCGGTGCCATCATCCCCAACTGGTAGACATTGGTGAAAGAGCCTCAGAGCTCAGCTCCTCCACAAAGTTTAGATTATTTTATAAATGGTAGATGCAGTGAGGAAAACACTTTACATTTCCAGATTAAAGGTAACCTATTCTGTGTGTGTATTACCCTTTCTTTTATTTGCTCTGAGTTCATTTCTTCCAAGTAGCAAAAGACTCTTCTTTGGGTCATTCACTGGGGTTGCAAACATTGTCGTCATCAGTCTCTCAATCCTTTTTCTGACTTTTCAAATTAAGATTATATACAGAGAGAATGTATATGTATGTGAATACACACACACACACACACACACACACACACACACACACACACACGTCTGCATTCATCAGATCTTTTTCAGTCTTCAAGATGGATATTCACCTTGGTCCTCCTCAACCAAGTAGAGTGAGGCGTGATATGATGTAAAACTCCCACCTACAAAGAGGGAAGAGCTGGCCTGAGGCCTGACTCCCTTACTGACTAGCTGTGTGGCTTCAGCAGACTCATATAACCTCCCAGAACCTGTTTCCTCACTGTAAAGTGGCTATAAAAAACCACCTGGCATCCAGCCAGTCAGTCACACTGGCTGAGCCCCCACAGTGGGCTAGGCAGGGCTCTAAGCACCCCTGACTCAGGGTGAGCGAAGCTGAGCTGCTCACTCCCCTTCAGGGAGCCTAAGGTCTGGGGAGAGGGAGCGGGGGTGTGAATCCTTCTAAGAAGGGCACCTGAGATGGGGGGCTGTGTAGGTAGGAGAGACTCCGAAAGTGGGGTGCGAACTGTGGTCTTGAGAATGAGCAGGAATTAGTTAGAAGAAGGTAGATGGGGACCTCATCCTAGGCAAAGGGCAGCGCCTGTGGATAGGGGCTGAGCCAGGAAGCACTACTGGGGGAGCGACAGGAGCCCGGGTGACGAGAGGCCCAGGTGAAGCAGGCCATTCTCGCCCTGTCAGCCTCGCCTCTGCGGCTCTCCTCGTGAGGATGAGGCCGTGGAAACACAATGGAAAAGCACCCCATGAAGTTGTCTCCTTGCCCTCCATGTCGCTGAGAACTGCCATTTTCTTTGTGGCCCTGGGGCTGTGGGAGGGACTCTCCTGGTGGGGCGAGCCCGAGGTGCTTGGCACTGGCCCTGGTTGGCCTCCAGGGGCCGGCCGCACACAAAGCCTGCTCTGTGCGTGAGCGTCCGAGGAGAGCGCTGCGGAGGACGCGGCCTGAGCCAGCAACCGCGTCCGCGGTGCCAGCGCCCACCCCCGCCCAGGCACTTCTCCGAACCCTTCAGGCCCTCTTGGCTCCCAGAAACAACATGGTCCTCCTTCGAGTGCCAAAGAAAATAACGAGGAGGTGGACGTGGACAGGGGAGGGGAATAGGGGCTTGGCAAAGCCTTTCCATGAAAAGGAATGAGCTGTGTTCTCCAACCGCAGGGCACCAATAGCCATCTCCGTCAGGGCTCAGCTCGGGACCAAGGGCAGAAAAATTTCAAGGCTCCTAAACATCTCCTCAGAATATCAGGAAAGTCAAGTCCCCCCTCCCCTCCCCGCCCAAGTTTACTCAAGCCAGAAATCAGCACACGAAAGCACAGACCAGACTGGGGAATGCCCACCCTATTTTCACGAGTCACCCCCTGGGCGGGTGGGCCGCCCCAGCCAGCAGACAGTGAGCCGGAGAAGAGACGTGGGCCTCACCTGCCGCACTGCTCCCCTCAACCACCAGGTAGAGGTGACATCAGCCTCAGCCATCCCGTATAGAATTCTGATTTAAAATTTTAATTAAATTAAAACAAATCTATTGTTTAAGTTTGACTGCCCCTCAATCTACACCAGGGTAGGAAAAGAGATTTCTGGAATGGCTCCGAGTTTTAGAGAGAGCCTTGTGAGTTTCCCCTTTGTGAAATCGCCCTATTTGGGAAGATCTGAGGAACTTGAGATGCTGACACGCAGGGGACGCTTAGGGAGCCGTATACCTGACAGGGCAGGGAACCTAGCTGCTTGGGATGGGAAGCTCCACAGTTCCACTGCGGACAGTGACAGCAAATGCAGCAGTTGAAGGGGGTAACAGAATAGCCTCGTTGCCATTTCCTGTGGAGACTAGCTCATGAGTGACCTTTTCTGTCGTGGACTCATCCTGAGCCGGTCAGCTATGCGTGCTCGCTCTCCGCCTTTCTCCTCAGGCCTTTAATTCTCTCTAGCTCTCTGACTGCCTCCACTTCTCTCTCCATGGTTCACCTCTTCTCTGTGCTGACCCTCTGAGGACCAGTGTGACGGAGTGGGAAGAACTTGGCTTTCAAGTTCGGACTGGGGTTCAAATTTCAGGTCCACCACACACTGGCTGTGGGATCTTGGGCAAGTCCTCCATGACCCTCAGGCTCCTCATCTGTGACTTCCCAGAGTGCAAGGACCAAACCTCTTATTTACTATGAATCCTTAAGCACACAGTTTGTTGCTTTGCCTATAGTAGGTGTTCGATCATAATTTTAATAATAGCATTAAACTCTTCCAGGCTCTGTTCTAAGTAATTTTACATATATGAACTCATTTAATCCACAGAACGACTCTATGATATAAGTGCTATCATTATCTCCATTTTACCAGTGAGGTACCTGAAGCTCATTTATTGAATGAATGGGCGAATGAATAAATGGCAGTTGCAAGAATTATTTATGTCGAAGAGCTTGACCAAGTACCTGGTACATCGCCCCTTCCGTACCCTATGTCTGCCGCCCTTTCTGTTTCTCCTGGCGTTAGGACAGGGCTGTCGAGCACTCAGCCTCTGCTCTGAGCGAGGCATGGCCACTTCCCAGCCTCCCACACAGGATGGCACCCGCTTCTGTCTGGGTGGGTACAGGGTTCCTCTGAAGGAGTGAAGGAGCACTGGTCTCAGAATAGAAATTCTTCAGAACACCAAAAACACAAAAAATACAGTGAATTCTTTTTCTACTTCCTTTTCCCCCAGAGGAGCCTACTGTGGAGATCCAAGTCCTATTGGACTCTGGGCAACATTTCACCAGCCTGAGGACCTTGGCACACGATGTCCAGAGGCAGTGCATAAACCAATGGCTAGTGTTGGCAGCTGTCCATAGGGGTAGAGGAAATCAAATCAGCTTCAAATGGCACCTGGCACACAGTAGGCATTTAATAACTGTTAAACCAATTGATAATTTTCTATGTACCGAATACCCTATATACATGAATCCCAAACTGCATAATAGTTCTATGAGTTGGGCATATTTTCTCCCTTTTACAGATGAGAACATAAGCTTAACATCTATAGACCTGGCCCAAGTAGAACCAAGTGGCAGAACCAAGATTTGAACCCAGGCTTGTCAGGCTCCAAAGCCTGTGCTCTTGACACCATGTTGTCTGAAACTGAATCACTGGCGGGACTTGTTCTTCCCCTTGTAAGCAATGAAACTAGGCCTGGGCACTCACAAGCTATGACTGGGTTTCTTGCCTCTGTCATTCCCTCTCCTGCCCCAAAGTTCATTGGTTGGATCCAGTCCCCTCTGGTTTTCACTGCAGAATAGAAAGTGACCTGAACCCCAGCAGAACACTCCAGGGCTGGTGGCCCTTTCAATTCACGGTGCAAAGGGTGAGGATGTTAACATAACTAGAGCCACTTTCAGGGGGCCTTTCGAAGGCTCCCCTGGGGGCCATCGTCCCTCACTTCTCTCTCCTCTGGTGTAGCGTGCGACTCATACTGGACATCTGTCCACCCCGAGTACTGGACTAAGCGCCATGTCTGGGAATGGCTCCAGTTCTGCTGCGACCAGTACAAGCTGGACACCAGTTGCATCTCATTCTGCCACTTCAACATCAGCGGGCTGCAGCTGTGCAGCATGACACAGGAGGAGTTCATCGAGGCGGCTGGCGTCTGCGGGGAGTACCTGTACTTCATCCTCCAGAACATCCGCTCGCAAGGTCGGTGTCCAGGGGCCAGGACCCGAGGGGAGGGACCACATGACCCTATCAGGTCCTTCCCTGCCATGTGACCCCCACAGCAAACTTTCATTCACTGGACCAAAATCCCATTCACCAAAACCTCTCGATACCCAGAGGAAGCTCTCATATGCTAGAACTGGAGACTGTAGGAAAAAGGAGCAGGAAAGCAAGTTGAGTGCATTTTTTTAAAAAAAGAAAAGAAAATTGAAGACACCCAGCTAGAAAGTAGGTGTCCTTTGGACTGTGCAGCTTCATGAAAACATGATCTGAAACTCCTACTTCACCTCCAGCCTGCCCATTCTCCAGGGGAGCAGACCAAGGCCCCGGCAGCCTCCCGAATCCTCGTGACATTCTCCCGTCAGGTTGTGCACTCCTTGTGGCCTCCTATGTCTGTTTTCTCCTTTGACCAGCACCCAACCAGCATTCAAATTCTTGAGACATTCGAGGCCAGGTCATAGATCACAAACTCGTACAGCCATAGGGGAGCTCAGTGGTGGTTGTGTCCCATGAGCCCAAAGACTGAGTGACTAGGCAAGGCCTCACAGGGGTCAGTGGCCCAGCCCAGCTCAGAGCCCAGGCCTCCTGACCCCAAGCCAGGACTCACTCCTAAGCCAGTGCCCACTCAGAATCTTAGAGGCTGCTGGGGCACCTGGCCTGGGGGCTCTCTCCAGATGGCCTTTCAAAGCAAAGAGATTGTCACCTCTTGGGGCTGGCTTCAGGATGCTCCTATAAAGGCCAGATTGTCTTCAAGGTTCTTTCTGAAATAAAAGCACCTCGCAGAGGGGAACTGCTCCCCTTCTCCTCAGCACCTCCTCTCCAGGCCTGGCCAGGGAAAACCAGGATTGCATGATATGATTTGTGAATTTCTTTTTCTTTCCCAGGTTATTCCTTTTTTAATGATGCCGAAGAGACCAAGGCTGCCATCAAAGACTGTAAGTAGCTGAGTTCAAGCTGCTCAAGGCTCTGCTGAGGCTACTATTGGGCACCTGGGCTTGATCATTCTTTTAGGACCACATGAAATGTTGATGACCTGAAACAATCACAGACTAGAAGCAGCAGGAGAAATGCAACGGACAGAGCCTAGGATTTGGGTCTATGACTTCTGATCCTCCCCCACACTCGGTTTCCCTATCTATAAAATGCTGTGCGAGTTCAAGAAACAGTGTATACAAAATGCCTAGCAAGTGCCAGCCAGCATAGATGCTCCAAAAACTGGTATCCATTAGCAGCAATAATAACCATAATTACTAACCATTAGAGGTCTTGTGGTTGATAGTGTCCACAAAGAATCTGAGCTCACTAAGCAGATCGACTTTGTAATTATAAGGTGATAGAGGACCTCAGATGGCCTTGTGGGATTCTGAAAATTAGCCCTCACTCTTTCGCTTTTGCAGATGGGGAAGGTTTAGGAAAGGGAACTTTGGAGCTTTCATTTTTATAAGATGATAATGATGATTCCTGTTAGACTGAGCCCT